GAAGGATTTCTTTACCGAGAGGGTGGTCTGGTCCAGGTTTCCTGGAGGGGTGGGCGATGCCCCAAGCCTGCCAGTGTTTAAGACGCATTTAGACATTGTCCTTAATAACATGCTTTGACTTTTGGTCAGCCCTGAATTGGTCAGGCAGTTGGACTAGATGATCGTTGCAGGTCCCTTCCAACTGAGCTATTCTGTTCTACTCAGATTGTTGTCAGTTTTCCAGTTTTTCAGCTTGCTTCTGGAAGCTGCAGTTAACGGGGCAATATAATACATAATAGCTCTGGCAGTGACAAATATGAATTTACATATGAGATTGTTATACTCCAACCTAAAATATCCCAAATACCACACTGTGTGAAGGTACAGTTGTCTCAGTTCCAGGTGTTGTGAAGGCACAGTTGGAAAGTACATTTTACCATGGGAGACATTGCTATGCTTAATGAAGTCTCCTTTGTTTTTTGCAGTTCTAAAAATGCTGTTTGTAAAATTACATCTGTACAAACACACAGAGAATACACACATGGAGATTACAGTGCTGTAACAGTGCTCTTGTAATCGTTATCACTAATAATAATATGAAGTACACCCTCACGCAGAGAATTGGGGTTTCTTTTGCTGGAGATGAGAACATCTTCCCATTGGACCCAGTTTTATTTTTTTATTCTCCCTTTTCCTGAAAGAAAAAAAGCCCAAAACCAAAGCTGAGCAATATCTAGTTACCAATATCCGTACGGTTTGAATGGATTACTTTTTCTTCTGCAATACACACAGAAGACAAAATTAGCTGACACCTGCAACCTGTTGGTTTCACCTTTTCTCTATAGCAAACAGACAGAGTTTCTACATAGATTTTTAACATTTTCTTAACTGTTAAAGGAAAGGTGTTAATATGCATTAGTCATGCATTTAAATCATTAGAAGTTCAGAATAAATAAATACAATGGTTACGCTTCGGTTATTAGATAGTACGAATATTCTCTAACACTTAAGAAGTCAAATTTTCTTCAGTGTTGCTTATATTCTGGTTCAATCATGACATTCCACTATTCATTTTTGTCTCTCTTAAGTTTCTTATATATGTGCTTAACCCACAGTTCTCTAAACCTTTAACTACTTCAGAACTGGTAGCACTTGATTGGTTTCCTCTCTGTTTCAAACCTCTTTTACCTTCTTGATAGCCTAATATTCTTTCTGTCATTTATATGTGCTGTGCTTACATGTTTGCTTGAAAGACCACTAGTGATATCAGTAATTACATTACTATGCCTAGACACTTTATGTTTTGATATTTTTGGAGTTTTTCAAAACTTAATTCTGATTGATGAAATCACTTAACTCTTAAGAATAATTGGTTACATTTACATCTTTAAGCCTGAAGTGCTTATTTTCCTTTACTGTTTTTTCTGTCCTAATTTGAGACTTTTGCTACATCCCTGGACATCTCCAGTCATTCTGCTTTTATAGCAGGTGCTGGCTATTTATGCTGCAGGCTTTTTTCCTGCTTTATAACTGAGCTTTCATGCCTACTATTTCCTTACAATTTTGTGATTAACCTTTGCAGCAGGACAGCATGCATTAGTAATCACTCTTCTCACAGCTCATCTGATTTCTCCTATTTGAATATTCAGCTTCTCCCTCTTTGCTTGTGAAACCTTTAAGTACCTATTTTTCTTTCTACATTCTCCTAGTCAGAGTAGACCATCTTAATCATATCAGGTACAGCCTGGATGTGATATATTAAGTTTTGCATTTTATTGATGGATATGTTAGCATCCAGTAGGGTACCGAGGCTCTTTATTTCCCAATCAGCTTTACAATTACAAATTTACTTTAGTTCTTTTTTGCTTTTCTACACCCTTCTGCTGCTTTCAAAGGTACTGGGGAGTCACACTGGCAAAGGTATCAGTTAATATGAATACTAATTCACAGTCTTCACAGCCTTGCACATCCAGGTTCTTTATGCGAGGGTTTTAGTCTTACTGCTCCTTTATATTTCACAGTCTCTTGATCAGGTCTGGAGAAGGTTTTATTCCCAGTAGGTACATACAAACACAGACACATACACAGAGCCCAACCATGACAGATCAACACAGGCAAGAGAACAGCACTTTCACAGGCACCACATACACACTAATAGCACTCACACAAGCATGAAGAGTATGAATAGCCTGGTCCTGCTTCTTCTTGCCAGCAAGTCAGTCTCAAACCTTACTAACAGATTTTTATACTCACACACACCCCCACAAAGATCTCTGTCTAGTGGCTTTTGTATTCTTCAGCTCCAGTCCTGCAAACAAGGTGCCAAGATGCACCTGCACATCATTCAGTAGGCACCTGGACCCAACCATTAGCCTTAACCAGCCATGTAACTGTCCCAGCTGGCTGATTAAAAATGCTGGGGCACTCTGCATCCACCTGTGCTACAGGACATGTTGCATTACTAAATAACAGGGTTAACAGCTGTAATGGTTCCAGACAATCCAGGAGTTACTTTTCTCATTTAGACACATTCTGCTTTCCTACCTGCAGAATGGCAACTCTCACAGCGACACTGGGCTTCCACACAGACACAAACAATCTCTCTTAATACTCACAGGAGGAGGAATGCTTATTATCATGTATACACTACTTTGGCCTCTTCAGGCAAAAAGGCAGTATGTCACTCAGGGTCCACATTCTGCTTGGCCACGCAGACCAGCTCTCCTTTTGCTTACTTAAAGCATCTTAATATCAGCCATCTCTAGCCTCAAAAATGGAAGCTCCCAGCAGAGTCTCCAGTTACCTCATGGGTAACTCTTCCCTCTTTAGATTGCAGGCATGAGATGTAACTAACTTAAAAGGTTAGTGTTGGTTCAGCAACACACTGCTAAAAACTAGTAATTCAATGATCAATAATAAACACATCATATTAAATTACAGTTACATAATTTTGCACTTGATTACACACAATGACAAAATTAATGATTATTACTCTTCAGTTTCACAAATCACTTGCAGCTACTATTAAATTACAGTTCTATCACCCTTCCTTCCTCATACCACTTTGTGCTAGGGTGCAACTCTGTCCCTCTTTACTCTGTCCTCCTACACCACAGAGCATCCTTGAATTGTTTAAATCACCCACCTGGGTTCCTAGAGAGCCCGTAGCTAGTTACGAGGACTGGTATTCCAGGGGGACAATCTGCCATCATAAAATCAGGGAGACAAGACCTCTTAAATAATGAAATAATTACCAATTTTAAATAATAAAGGAAAAATGTTATCTAACAGTCTGGGTATTATTCTAGTTTTATACACACCTAACAACAACACTGTACATCATAACCTACTCCTGGTGGAATAGTGAAGAAGTTAGAGCTAACTGAGTGTTTCTGTAGCAGAGCACTAGTCTGCTGTAACATTTAAAAATGAAGAAAGCAGCAAATAGAAAGCTCAACAATAAGGTTCCTGGAAGGAGCTTGTTACTAATAGAGACTCTTTTAGGTGTTGTGGCAGGACATTTGAGAAGTTTAAGGCATTACTTCCAAGTCCACTAATCGTTTCTTTTTATAGAAGAATGTAAGTCACTAAAATTGCTGACAACTCACTTCATGTCCAAAGATGGTCTTTGTATGCTCATTACTCTGTGTTAATTATTTTTCACCCTTGGCACCCGTGAATGGAGAAAGTTACTGTTGTGTGTTAGGTCACACAGAAAACCTGTATTGAAGCCATGAATTGCACTGATGTTCCCAACTCCCGGATCCATTCTTTACTCGTGAGATCATGCTTCAGCAATAGCAGTCTGTACTGTATGATTTCCTCCACCAAACCGTACACATTTGTATTTAAAACTCTGTAGTAGATGTTCCAGTTCATTTAAGTGCCTGTTTTTCCCCATCTGGATCTAATTTGCATTAGGCAGATAAATGGAAAATTCAAATGCTCAGGAAGACTGATACTAGTTGAGATTCACTACATACTGCATGCCTTTTCCCTCCTGGGTAAATCCTTTTTCTGTGGTTGCATCTTCAGGCTTTTAGACTCCGAACTTAATAGAGAGTTTATTGGCTTCCAGGTAGTGGTCTGAGGCTCAAACCACTGCAGGTGTGTGGCTAAGAGGTGTTAATTGGGTGATGGATGCACAGAAATCAGGAATACAGCTCAACAGTTAAATCAAATTAAAGCAAGACTCGAACAGATTATAGTGGACTTTTGATCAAGCCTTGTGGGGAGTTAGGAGGTAATACGCATTGCAACAAATCTGAAAACCCCTCTGCTTCCCTGATTTTCCTATTCACAGTTGTACCAAAAGAGTTTTCTTTTCCTAATACAGTTGTGTGCTGCCAAACTTCAACTTTCAGTAAAAAAGGTCAGAACTATAATGGTCTGAACTGTTATAGAGAATAATTAATGTTAAAGATAATAGTAACTTATTCTTAGCAGAAAATATGTTTGTACCTGAGCAATATTTAACTTTAAAACACTTCTGGAGGTTATCCATGAAGACATTTGCTTAAAAACCATCTACCAACATGTTTCTGGAAGTCAGTGAAACAGGTAATAATACTGCATATGGAGGCCAGAAGTTCACCAGTCTGGGCATGACTAGCTACGTACACTCAAATTATTACAAAACCAATGAATCTTTTTGTTTCCCATTCTGCTATTATTTTGGACAGTGCCTTCATTTACCTGTGTTCCAAAGGAGAATTTTCCTGCCCTTTACCAATATGGGCTGGTACCTAGCAGTTCAGAAACAAGGTGATTGGCTTGTGAAGGCTCGTAAAAGCAGAAATCTGGAGACCTAGTCATGCTGACTTGTCCAAGTTTCACAGGGAATCCTAACACAAAAGTGAAATAAATCCTGAGGGCAGAGATTGAGTGGGAAAGTAGATTGGCTGACTTCTATTGCTCCCTAAGGCTGAGACATAAACACATCTGTTAAATCATGAAAGGCAATGTTATGGACAGTTTTGAAATCTTCAGTAATAAATAAGCAGTGTGGTTTATGCTTTCAGAATATGAAATTGAGAGATCATTTTTCCTGAGAATGAAGTGTGTCCTAGCCAAGAGGAATGCAGGATTGACATGCAGTGGCTACAAGGTAATGTAT